CTAACTTGCGTGAGGTGGTATCTCAATGTAGTTTTGATTTGCATTTCTCTAATGACCAGTGATGATGAGCATTTCTTCATATGTTTGTTGGCCTCATGTATATCTTCTTTTGTTAGAACGCCTGATAAGCCGTTTGTCAGATGGGTAGATTGCAAAAATGTTTTCTCCTTCTGTTGGTTGCCGATTCACCCTAAAGACTGTTTCTTTTGCTGTGCAGAAGCTGTGGAGTTTGATTAGGTCCCAGTTTTCTCTTTTGGCTTTTGTTGCCAAGATGTTTCTTGATTAATGAATATATCAAAAAAATGTGACATACACAGACAAAAAAATATTACTCAGCTTTTAGAAGTCTTGTGACATTCTAAGACAAACTATGAGAATATCATGCCTGTTGAAATATGCTGGTAACAAAATGATGGATACTATTGAACTCCAGTTATATGAACTATATTAAGTAGTCACACTCATAGAAACAGAAAGTGGGCTGGGGGGACAGTTTATTATAAAACATACAACCCAGAAACAGTCAAATGCAAGAGATGAATAGGACAAAGGAAAAAGGTGAAAAAAGATAGAGCACATAGATAAAATTCTGTTAAATAGCTGTGATTAACAAGATTCTCCATCCCTTGAGTTCTCCAGGAAGAGCGTAATGGAAAGAAACACTTCTCATTATGTCTTAGACATACTCTATTTTCTTATCACACAGCCAGACACTGACTCTAAAAATTTCTGTTTTCCAAAACATCAGCTGAATAATTTGTCTTCATTGGTCGAAACCAAATACTTCTTCTTCTCCTTCTTCTTTTTTTTTTTTTTTTAGAAATGGAGTCTTGCTTTGTTGCCCAGGCTGGAGTGCAGTGGTGCAATCTCAACTCACTGCAACCACTGCCGCCTCCCGGGTTTAAGTTATTCTCCCTGCTAAGCCTCCCGAGTAGTTGGGGCTACAGGTGTGTGCCACCACACCCAGCTCATTTTTGTATTTTTAGTAGAGGCAGGGTTTCACCATATAAGACAGGATGGTCTCAATCTCTTTGCCTCATGATCTGCCTGCCTCAGCCTCCCAAAGTCCAGGGATTACAGATGTAAGTCACCACACCCGGCCCCAAAACTAAATATTTCTTAACTAAACTTTTCTTAATTTTCTCTCTTTCCTCAGGGCTCCTGAACTTTGAGCTACCCTCAGTCTGAGCCAACATACAACACCATTTTCTGTCTCTCTTAAGAACATGCTGACTTCAGGGTAAAACATTCTCTGATCTAGAATCTAAATTTGCACCCCTCTATTTTATCATTCTTCTCCCACCTTCTTTCTAATCACCTTTACTGTTCTTGTAAATGAAGGTTTTTGTTTGCCTAAACTTTGAGATTTTTAATTATATTATACTTTGTACTTTTTCCTGTTTTTTTTTGTTTGTTCATTTGTTTGTTTGTTTTTGTTTTTGTTTTTCTGAGATGGAGTCTTGCTCTGTCACCCAGGCTGGAGTGCAGTGGCACAATCTCTGCTCACTGCAACCTCAGCCTCCCAGGTGCAAGCAATTCTCCTGCTTCAGCCTTTCGAGTAGCTGAATTCACCTGCCACAATGCTTGGCTAATTTTTGTTGTTGCTGTTTTTAGTAGAGATGAGGTTTCGCCAGGATGGCGGGCGATCCGCCCACCTTGGCCTCCCAAAGTTCTGCGATTGAAGGCGTTAGCCACTGTGCCCAGCCAATGACAATTACTTCTAAATTTTCAATTTTTTGACCTTTCTGGCTGTGGATCCTTTAAGTGGTGATATGGTTTGTCTCTGTGTTCCCAACCAAAATGAATCTGGAATTGTAATTCCCATTTGTCATTGAAGAAACCTGTACCATACAGGTAAATTTTCTTCATTCTGTTCTTGTGATAGTAAGTTCCCATGAGATCTAATGGTTTAAAAGTGTGACACTTCTGCCCTCGTTCTCTCTTACATCACCATGTAAGATGTGCCTTGCTTCCTCTTTACCTTCTGCCATGATTGGAAGTATCTTGAAGCCTCCTCAGCCATGCAGAACTGAGAGTTAATTAAACATTTCTTTAAATAAATTACCTATTCTCAGGTAGTTTTTATAGCACTGTGAAGACAGACTAATCGAAGTGGGCAGCCAGCCCCACACTGTGGCTCATGCCTGTAATCTCGACACTTTGGGAGGCAGAGGCAGGTGGATCACGAGGTCAGGAGTTTGAGACCAGCCTCCTGACCAACATGGTGAAACCCCATCTCTATTTATATATATATATATATATATATATATATATATATATATATATACACACATACACACACACACACACACACAAAGAATACATTTGCAAAAACTGACGCACAAAAATCACAATGTGGCATTATAAAAGCAGAACAATGTAAAGATAACTTTCTGTGTGTCAGCATAGAAATCATACACCTTAGCAAGATAGTAGGTTAATCATAAGTTTGTGATTATCAGCAAAAACATAATGGGCTCACAGCTACAGAGGGAACAGGATATGATACAGAACAACCAGCCTGGTCACAAAAATTGCAAGAGGTGGGGGCCTCCATGCAGGCCTGGAGGAGCAGTGGGAGAAGAAAGACTTTTACAACCTTATTTCAACCACAGAGACAGACACCCCTCATGCGTCCATTTACAGGCTTTCCATAAGGGTCGCATTCCCCTTCCAGGGCTGTAATCAATATGCCTTTCCTTGGAAAGGAATCCAGGTAATAAACCTCTCTATTACACATCTGTTTATAGGCTCTCTGCAACGAGAAGCCTGAGACTCAGTATCATCTCTCTTTTACTTTATAGCTCACATACCTTCATGATTGCACCACTCAATTAGCTGCCATAGAACTCTGATGTCTTGGAAAGTGACACGTTTACAATAGAAATTAGATTCCTTCTAGATTTGGGACTATATAGTACCATTTAGCCTTGAAAGTATTTCCCTTTAAAAATCACAGAAGCAGGCCGGGCGTGGTGGCTCACACCTGTAAGCCTGGGAGTCTGAGGCAGCAGATAACTTGAAGTGAAGAGATTGAGACCAGCCTGGCCAACATGGTAAAACCCTATCTCTACTAAACATACAAAAAATTAGCTGGCTGTAGTGGTGCATGCCTGTAATTCCAGCCACTTAGGAGGCTGAGGTGGGAAAATTGCTGGAAACCCGGAGGCAGAGGTTGCAGTGAGCTGAGATAGTCACACTGCACTCCAGCCTGGAAGACAGAGTGAGACTCTCTCTCAAAAAGAAAAAAGAAAAAAGAAGAAGGAGAAGGAGAGAAGAGACAGGAAGTGCTTCACACCTGTAATCCTGGCACTTTGGAAGGCAGAGACAAGGGAATCACTTGACCTGAAGAGTTCAAGAGTAACCTGTACAACATGATGAGACACTGTTTACACACACACACACACATACACACACACACACACACACACACACACACACAATAAATAAATAAATCAGCTGGGCATGGCAGCACATTCCTGTAATCCCAGCTTCTCAAGGTGAGACCGAAAGATTACTTGAGTTCAAGAGGTTGAGGCCGCAGCGAGCTGGGATCAATCATATTGCTGCACTTTAGCCTGGGTGATAGAGTGAAACCCTGTCTTTAAAAAGATTGCAGAAGCATTTTGGAAGCACATGAAATAATGTGGGGAAATGGCTGGGGGCTGAGTTTATAAAGTCAAAGCCCAACAACATGTTATTTATTTTTTATCATAAAATAATTTAAAACTGTTAAAGAACAAGAGAGAGAGAGAAATTAAATTTAGCAGAGTTTAATTGACCAAAGAGTAATTTGCTAACCTAGCAGCTTTTGAATCCAGAGTAGGCTCAAAGAGACTCCAGCATGGCCACAGGTTGGAAGATGTATGGACAGAAAAAGCAAAGTGACATACAGAAACTGGGATGAAGCACAGAAACAGCCAGATTGATGACAGCTCAGAGATTTTTTTTTTATTTTATTTACTTAAAAGGTTAGAGAAACTAAACAGCCAGATTGATGGCAGCTCAGATTTTATTTTTTTATTAAAAAAGAGAAACTATACAGCCAGATTGATGGCAGCTCAGATTTATTTTATTTTATTTTTTTATTTAAAAAGTTAGAGAAATTAAATTTAGCAGAGTTTAATTCAGCAAAGAGTAACTAGCCAATCTAGAAGCTTTTGAATCCAGAGTAGGCTCAAAGAGACTCCAGTATGGCCACACGTTGGAAGGTGTATGGACAGAAAAAGCAAAGTGACATACAGAAACTGGGGTGAAGCACAGAAACAGCCAGATTGATGACAGCTCAGAGTTTTTATTTTATTTGAATATAGTTTGAATAGTTGAATTCATCTGACTGGCAAAAAATGATTAGAACAAGAATGTTTATAGTCTGTTTACACATCCATTTAGGTTTCAGTTTACCGTGTACAAAAAGTACTAACAGTAATTAAACTTAAAACGAGGTAGCTTAGGCCAAACTTAATTTAACAATTTTCCTATTTCAGTCATCCTAAAGTATCCATGTCTGACATAGACCAAAATTTTAGACATCGATACCAGACCATAACTAGGATAAATGTACTTGTTCCATCTCAAATTCCACTGGGAAACAGCAGAACTGTGGGTTTTGTAAAAACAGATGAAAGAACTTCAGGTTATTTTTAAAGAAATAAAAATTAGAGCAGAGAAGACCTTTTTGTGTTAAAATCTGCTGTTTACCAAAGGAAAAAAAAAAAAGGAAAAAACCTGGTTGTTTTTAGAATCTACCTATTTTCTCAAATTTTCAGTTCGATTACGGCACATTTAGCACGAGTGACTCTTTGTTTTTGTTTTTGTTTTTTGAGATGATGTCTTGCTCTGTCACCAGGCTGGAGTGCAGTGGCGCAATTTCAGCTGACTTCACACTTCGCCTCCCGGGTTCAAGCAATTCTTTTGCCTCAGCCTCCAGAGAGTAGCTGGGACTACAGGCACATGCCACCAAACCCACCTTGTATTTGTATTTTTAGTAGAGGCGGGGTTTCATCACGTTGGGCAGGATGGTCTTGATCTTTTGACCTTCTGATCTGCCTGCCTTGACCTCCCAAAGTGCTGGTATTACAGGCGTGAGTCACCGTGCCTGGCCGTTTTGTTTTGTTTTGTCTGCTCTGTTGTACATTGTGCCTAATGTACAAGCTCAGTTCAAAATAATGGCTTTCGGTAATTTTGTTTAAAAAGTATTCTAGCCACCGGCTCACGTAACCATCTCTGGGCCAGCGCGAACCATGGCTGGCTTGGTGGATTTCCAGAATGAGGAAGAGGTGAAGTCCTTTTTGGAGAACATGGAGGTGGAGTGCAACTACCATTGCTACCATGAGAAGGATCCGGACAGTTGCAATCGGCTGGTGGACTATTTGGAAGGGATCCAGAAGAATTTTGATGAGGTTGCCAAGGTGTTGAAGTTTAACTGTGAAGACAACCAGCACAGCAATAGCTGCTACAAACTGGGGGCCTACTATGTGACTGGAAAAGGTGGTCTGACCCAGGACCTGAAAGCTGCTGCCAGTTGCTTTTTGATAGTGTGTGAGAAGCCCAGAAAGAAGTCTTTAGCAGCATGTCACAACGTTGCTTGCCTGGCACATGATGGATGGGTTAATGAGGATGGCCAGCCTGACCTGGGGAAGGCCAGGGACTACTACATAAGGGCCTGTGATGCTGGTTATGCCTCCAGCTGCTTCAACCTCAGTGCCATGTTCCTGCAGGGTGCCCCTGGCTTTCCCAAGGACATGGACCTGGAATGTAAATATTCCATGAAAGCCTGTGGCCTGGGTCATTTCTGGGCCTGTGCCAATGCCAGTCACATGTACAAGCTGGGGGATGGCATCGAAAAGGATGAGGCCAAGGCTGAGGTGCTAAAAATTCAAGCCAAGCAGTTACACAAAGAACGGCAGAAAAGTGTCCAATCCTTAACATTTGTGTAAAGTGGCCCACCTTCCTTCCCAGGCAACAAACAGCTTGAGGCTGGCAGCTCCTGTTTCTGAAGACTGATGCAGCCCTTGAAGGTCAACCTGCTGGAGCAGGAAAACTTGGGACTTGAATTTGTAGCTCCACTCACATAGATCCATTGCCCCAGCTGCTGGGGTGTAGCCTATAATGTTTATGTCAGTCAGTACTCCTTTATCTGGGTGTTCCGTGAAGGCAGTCATGTTTATGGGGGTATTAGTTTTCAAACTCTGGAAATTCTGAAAAACAGGAGCAAACTAGAGAGCCCTAGAGATTGGTGGCGGGGAGGGGAGGATAGCAGGAAGTTGGAAAAATTAGCAGCCCCAGGGCCTAAAGGAATCAGCCATCATCATTATTATTGTGGTTAGGAGGGCTTGAAAATCAGGAAGTATCTTGGTTTACGTAATTGAGGTCTTAAAGAACCAAGAACAGTTAAATAGTCACGACTGCCAGCCTCTGAGTTACACAGTCATTGGTGTGGGCTTCATTTTGCCTTCAGAGTCACATCTTTCAGTAAATTCACAAAGATCAGGAGGGACATGCAACATACAGCTTAAAGGCTGTTACGATTCAGGGTTGCTGAGGAAGATGAAACATCAGCCTGCCATTGGCTACAAGAGACATTGAAGTTGAAAATAAGCACCTCCAGTGTAGTCACATGGCACTGCCCAGATCTTTCCCAAGGCAGCTTCAGTTAGCAGTTTGTAAGCAAGGACTTTGTGACACATTTGTCCCCTGGAACTGAGCCTTTTTAACTGTCCCTGTGAATAAACAATTTGAGTGACCTACAAAAAAAAAAAAAAATTATTCTAGCTGGGTGAGGTGGCTCACACCTATAATCCCAGCACTTTGGGAGGCTGAAGCAGGTGGATCACCTGAGGTCAGAAGTTCGAGACCAGCCTGACCATTATGGCGAAACCCCATCTTTAAAAAAATAAAAAAATAATTCTATTGGCCAGGCACCGTGGCTCATGCCTGTAATTCCAGCACTTTGGGAGGCTTAGCGGGGCAGATCAGTTGAGGTCAGGAGTTCTAGACCCGCCTGGCCAACATGGTGAAATTTTGTCTCTAGTAAATATACAAAAATTATCCTTGTATAGTGGTGCATGCCTGTAATTCCAGCGACTTCAAAGGCTGAGACAGGAGAATCTCTTGAACCTGGGAGGCAGAGGTTGTGATGAGCAGAAGTCACACCACTGAACTCTAGCCAGGGAGATAGATTGCGACTCTGTCTCAAGTCTTTGAGTTTTGTCATTTCAGTTAAAGAAGAAAAATTTGAAATTCTAGAGATTGCTGTCTGCAAACATTTATAACTTTTGAGAGAATCTATTGAACCAGCAGGACCATTATTTTCACTATCAGGAAGATAATACCAAGAGTTTGGAGTATGCTTTTATTTTATTTTGTTTAGAAGGCACAGTTTTTCTCTCTTCCCCAGGCTGGAGTGCAGTGGTGCAATCTCGGGTCACTGCAACCTCTGCCTTCTGGGTTCAAGTGTTTCTCCTGCCTTAGCCTCCCCAGCAGCTGTGATTACAGGTGCATGCCACCAAGCCCCGCTAATTTATTTTTGTATTTTTAGTAGAGACGTAGTTTCATCATGTTGGCCAGGCCGGTCTCAAACTCCTGACCTCAAGTGATCTGCCTGCCTCAGCCTCCCAGACTGGGAGACTGGGATTACAGGCATGAGCCACCAGGCCTGGTTGCAGTATACTTTTTAACCAGGGCCCCCATGAACCAAACCAACTAAAATAAAATAGATCACAGTAATTACCTGGATAAATGGTTTGTTCATTTCAATCAAGCAGCCTGCTCATTAACCTACAACAGAATATCTGTAATACCTGATACATTACAGAAATTGTTAGCAACTAAACAGATACTTTTCTTTATCCAATAAATAATCTAAAGAAATTAAATTATTTAGCACAATTTTATTAGGGGATTTAAATTTTCTGGGTGCAGTGGATCATGCCTGTAATCCCAGCACTCTGGGAGGCCAAGATGGGCAGATCATGAGGTCAGAAGTTCGAGACCAGCCTGGCCAACATGGCAAAACCCCTTCTTTACTAAAAATACAAAAAACTTAGCCAGGCATAGTGGCAGGTGCCTGTATTCCCAGCTATTGGGGAGGCTGAGGCAGGAAAATTGCTTGAACCCAGGAAACAGACTTTGCAGTGAGCCAGGATCACACCATTGCACTCCAGTCTTGGTGACAGAGTGAGATTCGGTCTCAAAAAAAAAAAAAGAGAGAGAGAGAATTTAAATTCATTTTGTATCCACAGCCTTTACTGTAGAATCTGCTATAGAGCCTAATATGGGAAATAAAATTCTAATTATTGTCTAATTTACTCTAAACCATGAGAAAAGAGACCTAGCAAGTCATGCCCACTCAGAAGAGTCAAAGCCTTCTGGCAATGCTGTTTAAAAAATTCTCCTTACTTTATAAAGTAGTTTAAGAACAGTGGGCCAATGTTCTGTTTCTTATATTATGAGACAATGAATATCCCATTAAAATTTCTCCTTCACATTTTTTTCTTTATCTTTTATTTATCAAAACATAAGTTTATCCATATATAAGGTTGGCTGCAAAAATGCTCTAAATATACAAGTATACCCCCTGAATTAATACAAGATAACCCTTTTCTATTTCTATTTTTATAGAGCCATAAGGAAGAAAATAACTGTAAGCTAGGAGTGTCATAGAAGCAGAGATATCTTGATCTTTTATCTAGTGAAAAAAGCTGTCCACGTCAAGATTACCATTTGCTTCTGAGGGGAAACTTTCCTGGTTGGCTTTGCCTTTGCCTTAAGTTCTCCAATGGCTATAAAGTTCCAAAAGTTTGGAGGCACACTTCTGAGTTGAGAAATTATAAATCCGGGGTTCAAGGTCCTGAAGTCTTGCTTCAGGGTATATGGCAAGGGAGGGATCAATTGGTGGTTTCTAGACAGTAAAATGTTTAATTGTCCTCAGTCAGTGGATCAGCAACAGATTTTTATACTTGGTAAAAATGAGCTTTGGTATAATGCATTAAAGTCTTGCTGCATTTAGTCATATTAGATTTTGGTACCCGAAGATACATGCGGTTCTATTATTACGTGCATAGGCCTCCCAATGACATTTTTTTTTTTTTTTTTACTCTAAGTGGATCTGATTGTCATTAATCTGAAATTGGAACAGCCATCCAATCAATTTGATTAGATTTGCTTAGTACTATTGTACCTGTGATAACTTACTTAACAGTTTTAAAACTTCTCTAGTAAAATAAGAATTTTTATCATTGGAGATTTTTACAGAAATGTCCCGTTAGAAAAACATATTTTCTAATATCTTTTTAGCTACTTTCATAACATCAGCCTTCTTGCATGAGAAAGCATTTATACAGCTAGAAAACTTATGTTAAAATGACAATTGAATAAAATTTCTGCATAAATGCTTATGCTACCTATCAGGTAGTATACGTACCTGAAGCTTTGACTGTCTTCTCAGGATTAGATGTTTGGCAAACAAAACATTGGTCATAAAATACTTTGGTAATTTAGATAGTCACCACATACACACACACACACACACACACACACACACACACACATATACACACACACTTAATTTACATTTAATTTAGATTATTTTCTCTCTTCTGTGTTGAGTAATAAAATGTAGAGCTTTTAATAATGAAAGCTATAAGAACTCAGGAAAGACCAAGTGACTCTCTAGGTTTTACATGAGCCCACACTTAACATTGGATTTATTTCTTCTTTGATTGATTAATTAATTGATTGATTGATTGAGATGGAGTCTTACTCTATGGCCCAGTCTTTACTCTGTAAAGTGTAGTGGCACAATCTCAGCTCACTGCAATTTCTGCTTTCTGGGTTAAAGCCATTCTCCTGCCTCAGCCTCTGGAGTAGCTTAGATTACAGGCCTGAGCCATCATGCCCAGCTAATGTTTGTATTTTTAGAAGAGATGGGGTTTCACCATGTTGGTCAGGCTGGTCTTAAACTCCTGATCTCAAGTGATTTCCCTGCCTTAGCCTCCAAAAGTGCTGAAATTGCATGTGTGAAACACCTTACCAGGCCGGAATTTCGGTCCTCTTACATATTAACTTTGTTTCTTCAATTTAGGTGCACAGCCCTAATAACTAATGGGTTATCGTACATAGGTAATTATACTTGGACTATACAGATTATTCAAATTGCACATCTGAAGAATTTCAGTACTGGTTGATTTAGCATAAAAATATGGCAAAGTACTTTTTTGGCCTTTAGTTAATTTCTGTTTCTCCTGGGCTAGCAGTTTTATAAGAGTCAGTCGCTTCATTAAGTTTCTGAGAATTCTCACCCAGTCCAAACAATATAATTCTAAAATGATCAGAAACCTGCATGCAACTTGTCTGGGCACTTTTCATCCTTTTCTTGAACCTCCTTTGAGACACAATACTCCAGGATTTTGTGTGCTTATGAAGCATTAACTGTGGAAATGTCTTAAAATGGTTATAAAGGCACAATCGACAAAAAAAGTTTATAACTACAGCCTACAATAATTTATCATAAAAATTATAATTATGGGTCTGGTGCAGTGGCTTCTGCCTGTAATCCCAGCACTTTGAGAGAACCCAGCCTGATGGATCACCTGAGGTCAGGAGCTTGAGACCAGGCTGACCAACATGGCAAAACTTTGTCTCTACTAAAAATATAAAAATTAGCTGGGTGTGGTAGTGAATGCCTGCAATCCCAGCTACTTAGGAGACTGAGGCAGGTGAATCGCTTGACTCTGGCAGGCGGAGGTGGCAGTGAGCTGAGATCGTGCTGCCAGCCTGGGAAACAGACAAAAATTCTGTGTCCAAAAAAAAAAAAATAATAATAGTTATGATTAATAGCACATACTCAGATGTATTAGAATTTTATAAATCTCATGTAATTTTGAAACATATATAAATTATTTGTTATCATATAAGTTAAAGAACATAAAACATTATTTTTTATTTGACAATTTTACCCATGTAATTTAACATATTAAATCATCTTGTTTATCTCTCTTGGATGTTTCAGGAACCCTCTGTTGTCAAAAATCACAATTTCGAAGCTAAAATTTGGATTTTGGGAAGCCTGTCAAATATGTCAAATGTGGGGCCAGGTGCAGTGGTTTACACCTGTAATCCCAGCACTTTGGGAGGCTGAGGTGGGCAGATCACCTGAGATCAGGAGCTCAAGACCAGCCTGGCCAACATGGTAAAACCCTGTCTCTACTAAAAATACAAAAAATCACTGGGCATGGTGGTGCACGCCTGTACTCCCAA